GCACCGGGGCGCCTCCCGCGCCGGCCCCTCGGCCTACCGTGGGCGCAGCTGGCGGTGACAGCAGCCAAGCCAGACCGGGGGCTGTGCCAGCCCCGGCAGCCGCCGCTGCCCCCCCCCCTGGGGGCCGGCGCCGGGCGGGCCGTGCCAGTGGCGCTGCCCACCCCCGCACGCTGGCAAGAGCCGTTTCCCCCCCTTTCCGCTCTGGCACGGCAGGTTTCAGGCCTGGCGGAGCAGCTGGAGGAGCGGCTCTTCCATCTCTATGGCCTCCACAACGAGCTGATCCAGGAGCGGCTGCAGGAGCTGGCGGAGGTGATGGAGCGCGTGGGTGAGGCCGAGGCCGAGCTCCAGCAGGTCTGCCGCACCGTGGAGGCAGCGTACCGTGACCTCTGCCTGCAGCCCGAGGCCTGAGTGAGGCCCCAAATCCGCAGCGGCCCCCCCAAATCCGCAGGGGCCCCCCCAGCAGCCTGCCTGCCCTTCGAGTGGGGTGTGCGTCACCCACTGCTGCTGTGCCAGGGCAGCTGCGAGTGGGAAAGGGGGATTTTGGCCCAAAAGGGCTTTTCCGTTGCTGTTGGTGTTTAGGTTTAGCACGAATAAAAAGCGCAAAAAAACCCCAAAGGCTTAATCCAGGGGGGCTGCCAGGGCTCCGCTGCCCGCTCGCTCCAGCCGCTTGCCGTGGCAAATCTCCCCGTGCACAGCACGTGCTGAAGCAGGTCCCCCTCCCGGCGGCAGAGCTGTGGCCCGGCGGCTTAATTAACGCTGATGAGGCTGGCACTGACTAGTGTGGGGTGGCTTTTCCACCTTTTATTGGCGAGTGGCCGCGAGGACGGCAAAGGCACCAAGGCAGTTCACCGGCCAAGAGGCTCTGCGGCAAAGCCTGGCACAACCAGGCTGCCGGGTCCCTGGGGTGACACCAAGTCCCATCAGCGACAGCGGCTCTGCTCAGCGATACCTTGTCCTGTCGGTGACGCCGAGTCCCGTCAGTGACACCGGGTACGGTCGGTGACAGCAGGTCCTGCAGGTGACACGGGTCCGGGCATCGGCGCCGTCTCCTCGTGTCCTTCCCCGCGAGGAGTGGACGTGTCCCCCGCAGGGGACGTCCTGGCCTCGCTGGCAGCGGTGTGAGGCCAGTCATGCCATAGAGCGTCGCAGCCATGTGCCGCCGGTGCGGTGCCAGGAGCCGTCTTCCCGCACTAGTCCCGCGGTGCCGGCGGCTTGCCGGGGGCGAAGGCCTGGATGCCGGTGATGGCTCGGCCCAGGATCAGCGCGTGGATGTCGTGGGTGCCTGCGGGTGTGGGAGCGGCCAGGCCTCGGGGGCGCCCGGCAGCGCCAGTGCCAGTGGGACCCCATACGCCCACCCGGCGCGGCGGTACCTTCGTAGGTGTTGACAGCCTCCAGGTTCATCAGGTGCCGGATGACGTGGTACTCGTCGCAGACCCCGTTCCCCCCCAGCATGTCCCGCGCCTCCCGGGCGATGGCCAGCGCCTTCCCGCATGAGTTGCGCTTCAGCATCGACACCATCTCGGGGGCCGCCCTGTGGGGATGGGGACGCTGGCACCCCCCTGCCGCCACCGCTAGGCCCCCCCGGCTCCCCGCCCCCCGCGACGGCACCCACCTGCCTTCATCCTTGAGGCGGCCGAGGCGGCGGCACGGCCCGGAG